GATTATGAAGAAAGGGCGTGAAAGTAAGTCCAGGAGACAGACAGAAAGTGAAGTCTTTCTGGGATTGCTCCCTCACCAACCAACAAAGCACTGGCCTAAAATTAAAACCTGGACTAGAGGATGCTTTGTAAAATCTTTCTACCTTCTCCCTTCCTCTGTGAGATGATGCAAAACTCACTGCCATGCAGTCAGTTCTGACTCATAGTGACCTCCATTGGGTTTCCAAGGCTGTAAATCTTTATGGAAGCAGACTGCCTCATCTTTCTTCCACAGAGTGGCTGGTGAGTTCATACTGACCTTTGAATTAGAGGCCAAATGCCTTAACCACTACAGCATCAGAGCTCCTTGAGAGCAAAGTAGCCTACAACGCTTCACAGTTGTGTTTCCCAGGCCCCATGAGAAGCTGTGTTATGGTAAGAAGCGGGGGCTCCTGGGCAAGTCCAAATCTCATCTCTGCTACTTTCTACCTGTTCACCACGGGTACATTATTTAACCTGGTGGTACAGTGGTTAAGCCCTCAGCTATTAACTAAAATGTTGATGGTTCAAACCCATCAGCTGTTCCATGGGAGAAAGAGCTTTACAGAAGAATCTGCTTCTGTAAAGATTATAGCTTGAAAACACTGGGGCATTTCTACCCTGTCCTACAGGGTTGCTGTGAGCATGTTACCACCAGTAAAGCGAGAATAATACAAGTACACACCACATAACGTTGTTGTATTGATTGAAGTTGTTATATATTTTCAATACTTAGAACAGTGCCTGGGATAGTGTAATGTCATCATCATCATCATCATCATCATTAGCAATAGCAAAAGCAGCAGCAGCACTGGCATCCAAGAGTCTAGCCATGTTCTGCCAGAACTGAAGCCATCTCCCGGAGATCTCAGATCGTTATTTATGCATTGCAAAGCATGGGAGGATGTCCTTTCTTTGTACCTTCCTTATGTTTCTCATGTTTTGCTTGGCATGCTCTGTGTATCAGGAATGCAGGTCAGCTTAGATTGCAAGTTAGTATGTGAACCACTTAGAAAGCTGGAACAAATGCTCAACAGTATGTTACCCAGCGCTCTGTATTAGTTTTAAAATGGGATCAATGTATCGCCAAAGACTGTTGGTATGCTAAGAGGTAGAAGGAATAGCTTAATTATTCATACGATTGTGTGCACACACACACACACACACTGTAGGGTGCTGCAAAGCAGACCTGGGATTTGTGGTCATGCCCCCTTCAAAGTAAGGGCAATTCCTTAGTAAAATTCAATAATATCAGCAGCCCTGAATAGCCAGTGATTTCTCAATCTCTGTATTTATATGCTTTTTGCATGTGACACATATGAAATTATTTGCCAAACCAGTTATCCCATTTCATAGATGAGAAAGTGCCTCAGAGAAGTTAAACAACTTGTTCAAAATCTGACTCTTATAAAGCAGAGCCTGTGGCTTTGTTTAGCTCTTTAGCTACTCTTGATAAATATCTCATTATTGTACTCACATAGGAGCTCTGGTAGCATAGTGCCTAAGGCACTTGACTGCTAACCAGAAGGCTGGCAGTTCAAACCCACCAGCCACTCCTTGGAAGGAAGGTTGGGCAATCTACTTCCGTACTGATACTGCCTCAGAAACCCAAGGAGGGGTCGCTATGAGTCAGATCCGACTTGATGGCACATAACAACAACAACATACTCACATAATCTTTTCTTGCCTACATCTAGGTTTTTCATCTTCACTTGTAATAATGTGGATCCTCTATAATTATCATTCCTAAGGAGGTACAAATCTAGTACAAGGAGGTTGAGGATAGGTAAAAGACTTTGTCTTGACAACAACAGTGTTCTTTTAGAAGCAAGAGTTGGGCAGGATATCTGTCTGCCTGGGGGTTTGTAGTGGGATGGAGGAGGAGTCTTGAGTTTCCTTATCTCACTCAAAAGAACCTGAGGCTATCTATCTGTGCTGCTGTACTGCAAGATAACCTCAGGTACCTTGGAGCTATTGTGAGTTCAGTTCCAGACCACTGCACTACAGAGAATATCTCAGTAAAGGAAGTCACACAAAGTTTTTGGTTTCCCAAAACCCCAAAAAACAAACTCACTGCCTTGGGTCAATTCCAACTCATAGCGACCCACACTGGGTTTCCCAGGTGGTAAATCTTTACAGAAGTAGATTGCCCAGTCTTCCTTTTGTGGAGTGTCTAGTGGATTTGAACCACCAGCCTTCTGATTAGCAGTCAAATGCCTTAGGCACTACACCACCAGAGAGTTATACTTATACTATACTGCAGTCTATTAAGGTGCTCTGGTGGCACAGTACGTTAAGGCATTTGATTGCTAACCAAAAAGTTGGCAGTTCAAATCTACCAGATGGGGCAATCTACTTCCTTGAAGATTTACTGCCTTGGAAATCCAATGGGGGCGTGCTATGAGTCTGAATCCACTCAGTGAGTTTGGTATTTTGTAGTCTATTAAGTGTGGAATAACATTCTGAAAAAGTTTGAATTGTGAGAATTACCAAAATGTGACATAGGGACACAAAGTAAGCACCTGCTGTTGGAAAAATGGCACTGATAGGCTTACCTGATGCAGGATTGCCACAAACCTTCAATTTGTGAAAGACGTGATAAATGCAAAATGCAATAGAGTGAAGCACAATAAAACAAGTCATGCCTGTGCTCTAACCCTTGCACACATACCTTAGGCCACCACCTGATTCTGAATCTTCTTTTCCCATTTATTGTAGCTCCAGATTAAATCTATTTCATGACCCGATTTTATCTTTTTAAAGTTGTGATAGAAAGCACATCTGCCCGTGGCTCACATCAGCATGGCTGCTGACCTCAGAATCAGAGAATTTTTACCTCACACACATGACTTTTCTCTTGTTTACCAATTACCAGTGACCATGGAGTTAATCCCATGTGTGTCTTAATAGACTTATGCTCCGCAGGGTTTGCAGTGGCTGATTTTTCAGAAGCAGATCACCAGGCTTTTATTCTGTGGCATCTCCGCGTGGACTGAAGTCCCAACGTTTTGATTAATAGTGACAGCATTACAGTTTGAACTTCCCAAGGACTCCTTTTCTGTTGGTAGTGCCAGAGAAACTAAAACAAAAATAAGAAACTTCTCTCACAATTCAATAAGAACTTTAAAGGGCAGAAATACAAAGCAGATACAATAGGAGCCATTTCCCTAAAGATATAGTGCTTGTGGGGGTTAGAAGGGCCTTCTTTCTCCTGGGCCATTTATTCTCTAGGTAGGTTGTTTCTGAAATGTGCCTTTCATGCTCTTCTCTGTCTTCCTTTTAGATCTTCTTCCTTCTTTGCATAGCACCCTGGTGGCATAGTGCCTAATGCATTTGACTGTTAACCAGAAGACTGGAGGTTCATACCCAGCGGCTACTCCTCAGAAGGAAGACAGGGCAATCTAAGTCGTACAGATACCACCTCAGAAACCCAAAGAGGGGTTTGACTCTAAGATGGAATCAAATGGATTCCACGGCAGTGAGGTTTTTTTTTTTTTTTTTCTAGATTACCATAGTACATTCAAGAGGGCATGTAGTAAGTCATTATTCCTCCCTTTCTTTGTCTTCAATTCCCTTTGTTTTTTTCCTTCCCTTATCTTCTTCTGTCTTCTGCTTTCTCCAAATCCTGACCTTGCTCCTGATGAAGTGAAGATACAAGATAGGAGAAGCAGAAAGAATCAAAGTGGCCATAAATTCTTATTTCAAATTCTTTTCTTTCTCATTTCAGGTCTTGAAAGGAAAGATGACCAACTCCTCCCTCCTTCTCCCCACCCCCAAAATTCTCCAAAACCAGAAGAGGGAATGATCACCCACTGCTACTCCATGTTCTGTGTGTAAACTAGACCTTGCTACTTTTGCATGTTTTATCACTGTTTCTAGAGAAGCAGAGGCATGGTGATCCTATCTTGGGAAAACCAAACCACCACAGTGGAATTTGTGCTTCGAGGATTCTTTTCCATCCAACAGCTAAATATTTCCCTCTTTATGATGTTTTTAGTTTTTTACATCTTAACTGTCTCTGGAAATATACTCATTGTCTTGTTGGTTTTGCTCAACCATCACCTCCACACCCCCATGTACTTCTTCTTGGTGAACTTGTCCTTTCTGGAGATCTGGTATACCTCCAACATTGTGCCCAAGATGTTGCTGATTATTATAGCTGAACAGAAGACTATCTCTGTGGCTTGCTACCTGGCACAGTTTTATTTCTTTGGATCCCTGGCTGCAACAGAGTGCCTCTTGCTGGCTGTGATGTCCTATGATCGCTACCTGGCCATCTGCCGACTTCTACACTACCCTATCCTCATGACTGGTCCCCTCTGCATCAAGCTGGCTGCCAGTTCTTGGCTCTGCTGTTTCTTCCTCACAGCAATAACCATAGTCCTACTGTCTAGACTAACCTTCTGTGGACCCAATGAAATCGATCACTTCTTTTGTGACTTCACCGCTCTGGTCCATCTTTCTTGCAAAGACACCTCACTGACTGAAACAATTGCCTTTGCCACTTCTTCTGCAGTGACTCTGGTCCCATTTCTCCTTATCACAGCCTCTTACACTTGCATCCTGTCTGCTATCCTAAAAATCCCATCTGGCACAGGCCAGCAAAAGGCCTTCTCCACTTGTTCCTCCCACCTCACTGTGGTCACAGTATTCTATGGGACACTGATTGCCATGTACTTGGTGCCCTCAGCCAACTCTTCACAACTCTTGCGCAAAGGGTTTTCTCTACTATACACCATCTTGACACCCATGTTCAACCCAATCATTTACAGCCTGAGAAATAGAGATATCTATGATGCTCTGAAGAGGTGCTTGAGTAAGAAATCAGGTCTTCTCAAATGAGGCAAAAAGCAAAAGAGCTCTGCTTTTCCAAGGATTGCTGATCTAGACTGAATCATTTAAATTCTACATACAAAGGCAACTATTTAAATTAAAAAGCTACCTAAGCCAATTGACCAGATGCCTCTATGAGTATGGCTGTGGACAGTGCTGAGTTTTGGCAGCCTCAGATCAACTAGTGCCCCAGGATATGATCTAAGCATGTTAGACTCAGCTCTTCATCTCCAGTAGACTTGGCTTCTTATGTGAAAGATCACACCCAAAATGAACTGGTAAGGCTGGTCACTTATTCTTTCAAACTCCATTGAAAGTCTACTATGTTCAATGTACTATGCTTGATTTAAGTGGCAAGATGATAGATAAAAACAGATGAAGCTTCTGATCTCACTGAACTCAGTCTGTGGGGGAAGAAAAGTATTAATCACATAACTAAAATTGCATACATTAATCCAAAATTACAATTGTGATTCAAATTAATTTAATAAGATGTTAATGGTACATCAAGAATGTACAGCTTCATGAGAGCCATGACAAGAACAGACATATGCACACCCATGTTCATCACAGCACTATTTACAATAACCAAAAGATGGAAACAACCTAGGTGTCCATCAACTGAGAAATAGATAAACAAACTATGGTACATACACAAAATGGAATACTATGCAACCCTAAAGAATAACCTAGAATCTGCAAAACACTACATAACATGGATGAGCTTGGAGGACATTATGCTGAGTGAAATAAGTCAATCACAGAAAGACAAATATTATATCAGTCTGTTATTGCAAAAATCAAGGAAAGATCTATCTATGGAAGGACATTTTCTTTGTTGGTTAGGAGTAGGGGTAGGGGTAGGAGGGGAAGATAGGGAACACTATTAGATGGGTAGAGATAAGTATTGATTTGGTGAAGAGAAGGGCAATGTACCAAATGTGAGTGATCAACACGGTAGCATTGAAGAAGAGGAAGACATAGAGAAGTACATGGGAGGTACAGTCAACAAAGATGAACCCTTTTGCACATAGAGTACTGCATTGTCAGTGAAGGCAAACATGGGTATGTGGGTGGATAGATGGGTGGACAGGCTGAACAGGTATGTCTATGAAGTGGGGAGTGTACCCAAGACCATATATAGTGTTGGTAATGGTCCTATAAGTTTATTTGTATGATCTGAATTCCCAGGTGTATAGTAGAGCTGACAAGGGACAAGGTTGTAGTCACTTCTTGGTCACAGCCAGCTACCCAGAAGGAACAAGTAGTTGAACCTGTGGGCTCAGGACCATAGTCACAAGGGTTGTCAAGCTCAATTGGCATAACATACTACAGAAAACATTGTCCCACCTCCTATTTTGGCGAGTAGTGACTGGGGTCTTAAAAGCTTGCAAACAACCATCTAAATGCAATGATGAGCAAAGAAGAATGAAGAAAACCAAAAATGCATGGAAATAATTAGTGTGGGTGACTAGTACACCATACGATCTGCAGCCTATACGAGTCTGAGACCAGAAGAACTAGATGATGCCTGGCTACCACTGTTAACCACTTGGAGGGGGATCTATGTAGGAGATCCTGGATAGAGAGGGAGAACAATGTGTAACAAAACTCAAAATCATTTGAGAAAAAAAAAGGGGGGGGGACCAGGTTTGGTGGTCTGATAGAGCCTGGTGGGACCACTGAGACTATGGCCCCTAGCTGCCCTTCAGGTCTGGAATTGAACCCACACCTGTGGCTTCCAGCCAAACAAAAGACAGGCATATGAGTGGAACATTTACCGGATGTAGATACACTCCTTGGAGAGAACAATCATGGGAGAAAGAAGGGCTGCTTATGCACAGGGAGACAGCTCAGGGTGCAGGAGTGCATGGAAGGATGGACACAGGGAAGAGGTAACTATGGGGAGGAAGTGGGAGGTGAGCTGTTGCATTGTGGCAAATTGTAGTCAATGTCATGAGACAAAGTGTGTGTGAGCTGCTGTATGGAAAGTGAATTTGCTCTGTAAATTTTCACCCAAATCACACACACACACACACACACACACGAGTAGAGAGCAATAAAATAATAAAACAAAACAACAAAAAAGAATGTACATTTTCAGTCTCTGTCTTTAACAGACTTTTGAGAAATGAGGATTTGGGGAAATGAAGCTGGACACAGGATCCACAACAGTGTCTCCAGCACTGTGGTTATTTTACTGCCATAGTGGCAGCTCAGTTGGGAGCTTGGGGCATCTTTTTTATTGAGTGCTGCCTCTTCTTGCCAGGCCCTCTTCCAAGGTTCCTGCTCCAACTGGCTCCCCTTCCTGCTGGCACATGCTCACAGCAGTTAGAACTTAGGGTGTAGTAGGCATGTGCTTATTCTTTGCTCAGTGCAATTCTAAAACACTGAAGATCAGCATTACATACCCTGTTGCTAATGCCTCCTTGTCTGACTCCTACAAGTTATGAACCCCCTGCCCAAATGCTGAGGACAGGATTATCTGTGTTTAAACATTTCTCTTGAAAATTTATTCTCATTTTGAGTTAAGCAAACTGGGAGGCGGGGCAAGATGGCGGACTAGGCAGAAGGATTGCACAGACCCTCTTCAACAAAGAAAAGGGAAACCAATAAATACAGACACAGAA